AAAGCCTTCAGGGACTTCAGGGTCGTTTGATTTTTAATTAGCATCCTATTATATCATTTGTAAGCAAACAAAGTCTCAGCCTCGACTAAAGCGGCTCAGCAGGCCCAGAAATATGATTTCCGCAGACATTTACAAATATCACATTAAATATAACAATACAGTAAGAACAACATAAAGGTAACATTATCTCAACTTTTTCCCTATAACTACTAAATTAGATCAGACTTTTTTCCAACTTGATTATTTTTATTTAAACTATTCAAATCATCCATAAATAGTGTGATGGTCTTATTTTAAATTCAAAATAAATATTTGTGTTGTCTTTCATATGGTCAAATATTGCATTGTTTTCTACTACAGATTCTACTACTACTAATGATAGTAGTACTTTTACAGTACCATGCTCTGTCTTTTATATTTTTCAAAGCACTTTTACAGTACCATGCTCTGTCTTTTATGTCTTTTCTCATCCACCTACAGCTTTTCTGTATTTATTTCTTTATTTGTTTAAGTAAACAGTCCAACATAATTGGCCAAGTGTCAGCAGGAGCTGATAATCCAGGCAAACAACCGTTTGGTTGTTTTTCCACTAATGCATATGTCTGTAGGCTGGATAATGGGCAGTAGGAGGACACAGTACTCTCCACAATGTTTAGGTATCAAAAGGAGGGAAGATGAGCCGCTGCTGACCACTTCTCCACGGTCAGTCCATCAGCCCTCAGTGTTTTCACACTGTCAAATAGGACTTCAGATCTTTCTCAGTCCTTTTTAACCTTTTAACATTTAACACTGAAGAACAGTGCATCTTTGTGGAATGTTCTCCTCTCACCCATTGAAATTTTGCTCCACGGAGCCCACACACATCTCCACTGACAAGGGCATGTAAGGAAAAGAAATGCATCAGCCACTCTCTGAATAAAACTGCTTTTAAAGGGCAGACTAATGGAGGCGTTGTTCGATGTGTAATCAAATGTCAGGGCTGTCAAACTCTTTACCTGCACTCAGGACTACACGCACACACGCACGCACACAAAAACACACACACACCGGGTCCTCTTTCTTAAAGATGTAAAACATTAATTATTATTCTGTATTCTCTTCACATTTCACCTCCCACAGATTTAACAATAATAAATGAGCAACATCATTTAGTCTGACTCCACTTTGTACTGCAGATATCTCTAACGCAGTTCTGCTTAGTCAAAAAAGCCTCAAAGTCTCTAAAATGGCCTTAAAGTGCCTTAAACTTTTTTTCGGTGGCCGAAAATTTGGTGCCTCCCTACTAGCAATCACTTAAAATATATATATATATAGTAAATATGCAATGTGTTTTAATATATTTTTATATATTAAGACAGAAAGAACACATACATATATATGAAATGATATATATATATAGTCAACTCTTTTGTATGATATATATATATATATAGTCAACTCTTTTGTGTGAATCACGTTGCCTGTACTCCCGGTGTCCATGCCTAGCTTATTTGATCTTTAGGGGTTTTTATATAACACTATAATATGTATTGTAGAATATATTGCTTTTCCATATCTTGTTGGTAGATGTTGGTTCAGTGTAATTCGATCACACACTCCTTCATATTTCCCCCCTGTTCCAGGCACTGTTGAGGGGCGAGGGTGTGATAAAGGGCACTCCAGGACAGCACCGAGTGATTACTCATGAGACCTCTAGGCTTGTACTTGTGCACACACAGAGAACGCTGAATTAGGCATCATGAAAATGTCCGTGGTGTTTCATGCCTTCGCCTGATGACTGCTGGGATTGGCTCCAGCTCCTGCTGGGACCCTCAACAGGATTAGGTGGTGTGGATGAATGAAGAAATAGATGAATAGATGGATGACAAACGGTTTACTCCAAATACTGCATGTCTATCTGGCTGTTTTGACAGCCCTTTCAGGGGAAAAGATTAAGGTTTGAAACGGATTTCTCGTACAATCAGCCCATAGAGAAACACTTACTACAGGTTGGCTATTACAATACAACGCCGGGGTGTGATAAAGTCAAGTTATTGTTGCAAATACAATGTGAGCAGTAAATAATATGACAAGAAAAAACAACATCTTGTGAGCTGGTAAGAGGTTGTCTCATGGTGAAAACAGACCCTGACATACTGCACAGATATTTTCAACTCACGCAGGTGCTAGATAACGCTATTTTGTTAAGTTGCTACATTATGTTTTTGTCCCTACTGGCAGCCCCATAATAAGTATCTGGCTTATCAGTAATATATTATTCCCACAGTCACACAATAACACCCAGATCTGAATGATCATTTTACCACACAGGCTACAAGACTATTTCAGCAAAATATGATGCGAAAACCTTGTGAGATATATGTCGCTGAAGTACTTTCAGAGTGTAAAGTCGTCACCTTTAAATGTTATCTATTGCTCACGCTACGGACCGTTAGCTTTCTATTTCTACAACCACTTTCAAATTACCCAAAAGACTCTATTTCAGCTTTCTTTTGCATTATTGAAGGCAGACACTGGCCACGTGCACAGAGGTGGTTCACACAACCTCAGAATAAAGGAAAGAAAATCAATTTCCTCCTACGTTGGGGCCACATTATGTAAACTCCAGCCACCTGGAAACCATCACTGAACATCAGCAACCTCCAGCGATCATGTCCTTATGTACCAAGAGTCTGGAGACATGAATAAAGGTTTAGTGAGTACGACTCACACAAACATGATTTGACAGAGTGCACGTGCTCAGCACCTGGAGCCTAAAATGAACAACAGTGAGATTGTTTCTTTAACCAATCAAATTCCGAGTTGGCCACAACACATCTGGTTAGCCACGTATCAAGCAAGCTTTGTGGTATGTTACATAACTACAGTCTGAGGATTCAACAGACGCTCAAAGGTAATTAATTACATATCAATTAATTATAAGTTATAAAAGGATAAAATAATATATAAAAAAGAAACTATTATTATAAAAAATTAAAAAATATAACATGAACGTATGTATTTCTTAAGACTTTGATTTGACAAAAGCCCTTGCTCTGTTCATAATATCCTTCTGAACCACAGCTTCAAACCAAGAAAATAGTCACAAACCAGCTAATTACTGTACTTCTTGTTCTGTAGGCCCACAGATAAGATAAACAAGACTGATGCTAACAGTTAGCAAGGCCGTGCATGGTGTTCACGTTAAAGAAAACACAAGGAAACTTATTTAGTGAGGTTATATGGGGTTAGACAGCTTCTTTGTGGTCACATGATAACTCTTGTTTTAGGGCCAGTGAATGCTGACACACAATTACTGCTGCAGTGGCTTTCTGTGACACTGATGGATCTGTTGGTGAAAGGCTGCAAAAGCTAACAACCAGTCAAAGTTCTGACTTTGTGTACGACCGAGAGAGGGTTTGTATTCTGTTCTGGTATTTAAACCTCTAACCTCTGAATTCTCACTCCAAATGGGATGAAGAATAATATTCGGCTAGTGTCAAAGATACAGACAAATGGGATAAAAATACCAGGGAGGAAATGAGCAAGCTAACGTAGCATGTGAGAACTTCTGTCTCTATTTATAGCTGTTCCCAGAACTGTAATAGGTGACGATGTTTCTCACAAGACTTGAAACAAAAACGATCCAGTTTTAAACTGATGTTAGGCCACAGCAGACTGATTTACCTGCAGGAAGGGACTCACTGTCCTCTCAGTAAAAAAAAAGACACTAAGACAAACACTGACTTTCATTTACACATCATTTTGAATTTCTCAGAAAACTCCTGTTCAAATTCAGTGGCCAGTCCCAAATTCCTGTACAAAGAGCAGGAGCTTCGTACACATTTGTGAGTTCATCAGATCATCTATTGTCTGTCTTCTTACACCACGTTCGCAGCAGCTCAGTTTTTTGTGCCGTTCATCAGAGAAGCTGTTTTCCCTATCGAGATAAGAAATTAAATCTGCAGGAGCAGAGCATGCTGGGATTGCTGCAGGGTGGCGAAGTAGCAGCTCTGATAATAGAGCAGACTCCCACTGCGCAGGCTATGAGGCAAACAGCCATGGCAGCAGCCCAGCCCTGGCTCTGTGAGAGGATACGTATCATAGTCAGACTGAAGGCACTCGCTCCGTTTCTGTGAAGATCTGTAGTTAAAACCGCAGTGATGGAATAAAGGGAAACTTTCTATTTTAAATATAAATACGACTGTCTGAAGAAGAGCAGGGGATATAGTTTAGCATTTCTTTGATAAGGTGACAGGTTTTAAACCAGCTCCAGTGATAAAACCTAAATCTGTGTAGATCTACGACAACGGGAGAATATGTTTAACAGCAAGAACCATTGAGAAAATCAACATCACACACACACACACTGGTGCAATAGAAAATGTTAAAGGTCTTTGTTATTTGGGACTACAAATTCAGAAGAAAATGTTAAAGGTTTTTGTTATTTGGGACTACAAATTCAGAACAGGTAGATTTGGCCTGAATATAATTATATTTGTGTTTCTCATACGTTTTTGTTCTTATAAAATCCGGATAAAAGGTAGATATAATCATTTTTACATTTCTTTTGGTTTATTACGATATGAGCTTTTTATAATGCCTTCTGATAAAACAAACAAACAAACAAAAAAAACAACATACCATCTGTGTTTTCGTGGCTTTTTCACACCTGATCTGACTGATTTCAGATCATTTTGTTAATTTATTTAATATTTTCGTTTTGCTGCCTTTCAGTTTATGCCAGTTTAGCCATGTGATGGCTAACTGACTTACTTTCTATTTCTATAGACACACCTTATTTCGAACTCAACCAGAGTCTTTGAGATAACTGCAATGCCACCACACTCTTCACATCATAATGTGTGCTACAGAAGCCTTTTGTATTTGTCCTTACTCCCACCCTCTCCTCACCATCCTCTCCACAGCAGCATTGTCAGAAGGTGATAAACTCTGTGGTTTTTGACAAATCCACACAAGTATGTGATGTAATTATGGTAAGAACTGGCAAAAAAACTTACCAGAATGCTGTGATATTTTGAATTCTTTTCACACGTTCAGCTTCAGAGGAATCTGCAGAGAGAAATAACATTCTCACTTTAACATCAGGGGAAAAACCAGCACTGGTTCTGTAATAATGTGAGTTACATAAAAAGACTCCATCTTTGACTTCATCGAAGAATCAATCTGTGATTTGATATTTTTGCCGCAGTGGAACCATCATTTTCTGACATGAGTCTCCGTGCCAGATGGAATTTTCAAAAAGAGAACAAAGAAGTACTTAAAAAAAACAAAAAAAAACCCCAAAACATTTGACTTGTCTTACAATATGTACTGTATGTTGCCAAAACATTTCATACTGCATTACTGGTCAAATTTTTATTGAAACTTTTACATGTTATATTTAATGTTATTAATTTGGATAAAACCAAGATACAACATTTTTCGATGAACACATGAAGAAGTCGGTAAAGAGTAATACGACTTCTTCTTTGGGTTGTGTAGTGCTGCATCTGCATATACCTACATGAAGGTACCACTGAGGGTAATAAAAATACATGCTGCTCTATATTCAGTAAAAACCAGCGAGCCTGGGTTTGATGCTTTCTCAGTAATGCAGACAGAAAGTCTGTACAACAGCGTAACACGTCTCAGAGCTACAGCTGAAAAACAAAACAGCAGAGAAACCAAGATCTGCCAGTGAACCAGTGGCTGAGACACTCAATATGTCAGGATCAGTGTTATTCATCTGCCAGTACCAGCTCTCAATGGGTAGAACAGAGGGAACCAGGACTGTGTGTCCCAACACAAAAAGTTAACATTTTAGAAAGTACGCTGGTACGAGCAGGAGGGTTAGCATGTACAAAAAAAAAAAAAAAAAAAAAATACACACTGATGTCCAGAGAGAATACGATTTTCAGGTTAAAAATTAAGAAAATAAATAAAACTCTCTTCTCAGCCCCACAGTTAAAAAGTTGTTGCAAAGTTTGGCTGTTGATGCTGATGATACATTCACCAGAATGACTTCAAATCACAGTCACAGCTCATTTTAAACACACTGTAATCCAGTAGAAGAATTGTTCTCTTTGTCATCCCAATGGCACAGGAAAATATAAAAACAGCAAAAAGTAAATGAATAAAATTTAAATTTAATTACAACCAGAGCCAACCATTAACATGTTTAACCTCGAGCTCGACACGCTTGAGGTTAAACATGTTAACGGTAAGTAACACTGTAGGTGGGTGGGCAAATATGTATTTATGTGAAACGGTAATTAGGCCAAGACCTGGGAGGAAGCTCAGATGTGCAGATATATTGTATACATCAACACAGCAACTGAAACTGACATGTAATAATGAGTAATATACGGAATTATTCCCTGTTAATCTCCTCACAACAAGACAGAGACAACAAAAAGGGCTGCAGTCCATCACGTGAGCAACACACCCACATGGAATCAGGATAACTTTGTTTACTGCATGGCAGAGCTTTTAAACTAAAGATACAATCAGTCTGCATTGGCTGATGCTGCTAACTCGCTACTCTGGAGAAAACACACAGGCAGTACAATCGCCCAAACCTGGGGTTCTTTCTTTTGGATGTTGCTGTGAGTAATACATTATTCAGACAGGTTATATATTGCAGCTTATGCAGGACTTGATAAAACACATACCTTAGCAATACATTACACTACAGTTAAAGGAAAACACAAACAAAGAAAAAAAAAACTAAAAGTAAACTACTGTTCAACCTTTAAAAACTCTCAGCCGAAGCAGAAATCAAATACAGGCATAGGACGAACAGAAAACAAAACTGTATTTATTAACAAAAACAGAGCTCTTTTTCTACAAAGTCTTTAAACTAAACGTGTCTTTGTAATGAAAACTTTGGAAATTAAACCCTCATGAACTGAGATAAACACTGAATTTGTGACACACAATGACAAAGGTTAAAAACAACTGAAGAACTAAACCTATATTTAGATGGATAGATGGATAGATTTTTCTGTCTTTAAACACAGGTGAGTTAGCTATTTCCTGTCTTTAAACACAGGTGAGTTAGCTAGCCTAGCCTAGCCTAGCCTATCATAACATATAGTTCAGCACTATCCTTCTGTTTGTGGTTAATAGTTTTTCACTTGTGTATAAAAGTGATGTAGGAAGTAGCCAGTATTTTATTCTTACGTGACAAAAAACAATAACGTTTCCTGAAAAGTCCAGAACATTGAAATGTAGTGGCAGTAATTAGCTCCAGCAGTAATTGTTCATGCTCTGAGCACATGCTAACTACAGCATTCATGTACTCATCAAACGCTCTACAAAGACACATTAAACAAGCACTGCACCAGTGTGGGCTCATTAGGGTTGTAAGTGTTTTCTTTTCACTACATTTTAAGTTCTGGTACACTGGTTAGGGGTGGTGAGGTGGGTGAGGAGGGGGGACACAGAGGTAGTTTTCACACCTAAAAAGAAGCTTTTTTTCTTTTCTTCCAAACATGCTTGAAAGAACAAACGTCATTACGCTGTAAACACTGCTAATGTGAACGCATCACTTGGATACTTATTTGGGGAAGTGAAGATTTAAGTGCAAAAATGTTAAATGAGGAAAAACAAACTTCACTAACAGCAAAACAACCAGAGCACAAGAGAACAAAACTGGGTAGAATCTGGAACTAATCAGAAAATCCTGCAAAATAGAATGAGGCTAAAACACGACACAGGCAGGAATGTGGAACACAAGTAATACATGACAGAGCTTTGGGCTGTAAAAAAAAACAAAACAAATCAAAAAGAACAATATTGAAGGAGTAAAGATTGAGAACTATGTTGTCAACTGCAGTTAAATCCAACAGGGTGACAAAGTGCTCACTCTGAGGTAACATTTTATTTCAATGTTAGCGGCATATAAATGTGTGTGAAAGTCAATCTGTTTCCCATGCCACACCAGCGTATGTTTACCATTAGACAAATTCTACCTCCCCATGTGGCAGAGCTCTCGGAGCAAACCTCGTTTTAACCCAAGCACATTTTGCCTTGAGAATACACCAAGAAGCAAAAAGTCACAATTTGTATGCAATAAAACCTTAATATTAGGACTTTAATATTTACAGTTGAGAAATATTTTAAATAAAATATAAATTATAATATATATATACATATATATATTATATGTATACAAATTTTGTTCTTAATTCATTCTTCACTTTTTTTTGTTGTCATCTTGGAATCAAACTTGGAATTTTCTAGAGGGCAGGGTAGAGTTCTACCACTGCAGCCCTCTTACATGAAAGAGTAGTCAAGAATATTAATGAAGATATGTTTAAAATTTTGTTCTTTATTCATTCAAGAATATTAATGAAGATATGTTTAAAACACTTGCTGTAATTGCACATTAGCTGTGTAAATCTGCGAGTCGAGTGGGCAGACAAAAATACACAGATAAAAATAATCATGTTAAATGTCATGTCTATTTATTGGGTGATCTATTCAGTCCAAAGGTGAACCTGTTGTTTTGTCATTTGACTGAGTTTTAAGCACCCATGGAAAAGAAGACATAAGTGAGAGACTCTAAACAAAGCTCACACAGAAGGCGTGCTGTACATCCCCTCTATATAATTGGTGTGGGTTCACAGCAGAGTCATGGCCTCAGGGTATTCCTGATACTGTGTTTTGTAACACACACACGCTAACATTAAATATTCATATTCTGCCTTATACAGCTGTACATAACAGACATTTCACAAGTTGAATCAGAAAGGTTAAAACTGAATGGTGTTAAACAGAAACAGAACCTCACCAAACCTCACAGTTTGTCCAATCACAATTAACTTTGCTGTAAATTCCTAGATATGTTTTTAGACGGATAAACAAGGCCAGGGTCTGACCTCAGATGGTGCTACTGCATCACGTCTGTTCGAGGCTGCTGATTTATTCCTCTTCTAACCTCCGCTTTCACACTCACTCCCGATGGGAACAAAACTCCGGGGTTTTCACTCATCCCTGCAGGACGGGGAAGAGGAAGATTTAACTCAAAATCTCATAAAACTTTAATTCTTCTGCCCAAAGCTGGAGCTAGACTTTTGGAGAAAATAAAGAACCCGAACTCCTCTGGACTGTGACGGGGTGAAGGACAAGCAGGCGCTTTGATTTATAAATGCTGTGACACTGCGACAGAGTGAAGTGCTGCTGCGCAAACCTCAGTGGATTTGACCGAGCACGGAGAGAAAACCACATTTTTATTTAGCTTTGACTAAAAATTCATACTTGTAATAGATATGAAAATGGTGAACGACTTAAATTAAAAATGTCAAATCACACATTTGAGTAGAGGTTTGACAAAAGAACAGATCCAAGCCAACGGTTAAATGACATTACAAAAATAAAATAAATAAAAATGATGCTTTGAGAGCCTAGAGCTGAATTTAATCAAAGATCTTCATTCTGACCTCAGAGCCGTGCACTCTTAGAGATTACTTTATCAGATTTACTTGGACAAATTGACACAAAAAAAATATGAATTCATGTTCAAACGCTCAACACTTTGCAGGGTCTAGGGGGCTCAGGCCAATCCCAGAGGTCACTAGACGAGGGGACATGGTTCATCTCAAAGTCGTATGCAGAAACCAAACCACCATTCACACTCACATTCACAGCTTTGGTCGATTTAAGGTGAACAACTGACCCTTATCTTAACCCAACATGTTTTTAAACCGTGGAAGGAAACCACAGCCTCTGGGGAGAACATGCAAACTCCATAAAGAAAGAGCAGCAGTCTGACCCTCTGGCTGGAGGGCAGTTGTACTAACTATTCTACCACTTTCACCATATGGCCCTAGAATCATTAATATTGACATGGAAATAAAATATGGTATTAAAGACTTGTCTTTAAAACAGGACAAATTTATCAACAACAAGAATGAACATTTAATTACTGCATTGTTTAAGGTAAAGCATTAAACATTTTAAATGACAAATGAAACTGTTAACTAGGCAACTGGATTGACCTGGTTTCTAGAAGACATCTCAATTATTTAAACCTGTTTAAAAACTATTTCTAATAAAAAACAACAACAAATAAACTGTGACTGTGTTGTCACTAGCTTTTGTCTGCGTTAAACATTTGAGATACACTGCTGTCAAAAGCTGAGGTAGTAGAAGACAGTTTCAAGTCACATGATCTGCTCTTCTCTTCCAGACGACGTGTTAAAGCAGGGTTTGAACACTCTGTGTTATTTAAAGAAGCACATAGTAACAGACATGGTTGGCCAAAGACGTTTGGCTTTGCAGATAAAAGACAAATCAAACAATCGGGCTGCGAAAACCTAATTCCACTTCTCCCCAGCCTTTTGTCTGGAGTCCTGTAGAATAATGAGTGTGTGAACACGAGGGGAAGATTCATAGCAAGGTCCGGGCTGCATTTCTACAGATCTAATTGATTCCCTCAGTGTGGAGAATAATGTTGTTTTCACACTGGTATTTAATATGATATTTGCTGTGCTGAGAAACTAGTTTCACTCCCCGCTCGTGTTCACACTGCAGAGTAATGCACACTCTCTTATCTCTCATCTAATGTGCATTAACTCATCCACCTCCAGATGGGGGTTTCAATCCCATATTAACTAATTCGGGCGCAAATCCATTAAAACTACTATGGTTTTCGCTCCGTGTGCACGAACGACCTCAAAATTTTAATCTGCCTTATCTTCATCAATCCAGTGAAGTCTAGTGTTTGTTAATTTCCCACTCGATGCCGCCTCGTCAGTGCACCTCTCACTGTTCCTAGAATAAAAAGCCTAGCCAACGGCTACATCAATTTCCAGAACTCTCTCCTGAACCGTTTTTCATATTAACCATCAGGAAGTTATCAACCAATAAACTGTTGAGATCCGACACACATGCACTGTCAGCACAAAGACGACGATCGACTCCTTAATTTGATGTTTCCCACAGAGTCCAGGTCTCTGTGGAGAAACCTTACCAGAGATCTGTAGCCTGTCACATCAAATATTCATCTGATTATAATTGAGCTTTTGTTCAATGGCTTGGAATTGTGTTGATGACTTAAAATTAACTCAACACTTTGCAGGCCAGGGTTTTTTTTTCTCCCACGCTTTCCTTTTACCAAAATATCTAAATGATTACATTTTTATTATTATAAAAATGTACTAATCATGTCAGTGGTAATCCCATAAAAGGCATTCTTTGGAACAGCAGACTCAGATTACGATGCTCCTTCTGTCGCTATCGTAATAATCCTCTCATATCCCTGCTTGCATGTTATGGAGCATGACTCGTGTCTCCACGCACTGCTGCGAAATGAGGATGAAGTAATCGCATTAGGATGTATAAATGGCTATATCATTGGCCTACAATGAGGGAACTTTAATTTCTTTAAAATCCAATTTCTCATTTAGTACGAGGTTTAAAAAGCTCCTTTAAATGATGGTGGTGACTGGTGTATCTATTACTAACACAAGGTTATGAAAGGTAATGTTTGCAGACAAAACGGACAATGTTTAACAAACTGGTATTTAACAATCAGGAGGTATTTTTGTTAGCTCTGAAAACTGATGCCAGTCAAGAGAACAGACGCTCTGTTGCAGAGACTCAGAACAAGAGTAAAAAGGAAATCATGGTTGAAAGATTTTGTACATTTTGTACACACACAGCGCCGGGTTTGAATCCTGTCCCAGAATCAGAGTATGAGGAGAAACTGGCACAAGAGGTGCAGTGCAGGAGCACACTCCCACACACACACGCACGCATGCTCACACACATAATGGCATATAATCAGCCACCAGGTCACCTGCACCCAAAGGACAACACAAGGGTTAAGAGAAACAGTAAAACCACGGGAACATGAGCCAAGCCAACGATGACTCAAGAAATATCCTATTACAGCCAGTGTGTACAGATCAATAACAGTGTATCCATCCACCAGTGATTACTGTTATCAGTCCATTGTATCTCGTCACAAAGTTCAGTGGACTCAAACCAGTTCTTTGACCATGGACATGTCTTCTCTAGTCCCACTGTTTTTGACATGGTACAATGAGAAATGAGCGTAACAAACATAGAGACAACAAATGTTCAATCACTGCACGACGCCACCGAGTGAACACGACCCAGAATCCCTGAGAAACGGTTACAGCGTCTGATTAGATAAATGCCATGAAGAATAAAAGCTGTTTTTAACTTGTTACGAGCAAAATGCATCAGACGAAGTGGCGGATGTTCTTAACAGCTCTTCATTACACATCTAAGTGGCAGATTGAGCGCCCCCAGAGAAAGTGATTAATTTGCATATGTTTCACCTGTTGATCACTTAAATACTTACGTTAAAAAAAGTACAAACAGGACCCAGGATTCCTAACTGTTTCCCTTGGATAGTTACACACATTTTAATGTTTTTTTACCGACTGGAGAATTACCACAAATGTATCATCTCAGAGTGTTCTCATTTATTCAAGTCTAACAATTTTCATTTGACCTGTTATTTATTATACACTGGAGCTGCGGCCAGCAGGGTGCAGCTTCGCTTTTCTTTGCTCCTTCAAACGTTTGTGGAGTTCTTCATCCTCAAGGACAAAAAGCCATTTGTTCAAGGTTCCTGGATTCCAGAGCAGGTTAACTGTAACCTCGGATTAAACCAGCACAATGTGAGAAAAGCCTTTTTCCCCCCTTCTCTTATAACGCTTTTATAGCTTTAATGTTAAAAAAACAGCAAGGTGTTATTGCCAGGCCCTCTTTCTCTTTTTCTCTCTCCGTCTCTCAGGGAGAGAGACTTGAGGGCCGCCATGGCCATAGGAACATTATCACTTCTCAGTCCAAACACTGTCTAGAATTCCTAATGAAGAGTGAAAAGCCCTCTTATACCAGGGGTCCACAGGCTGCAGGAACACAGAACACACAGCACATTCACTTCTCTATTACACTGCAAGATCTGCCATCAAGTCGAGAAAAAGTTGTGTGTTGTTTTTGAGGGCAATGCTGCTTTCCTAATGCCCTTCGATGAAAACAATCACCGATAACTACACACCCTGAGCCTGGATCTGTTTAAGACGGCTTCACATTAATACATATTACTACCCTGATGAAAACAATCAGAACACCGATGACCACACACCCTGAGTCTGGATCTGTTTAAGATGGCTTCACATTAATACATATTACTACCCTTTGGAAATGTAAACAAAAATCTAAACAAAGCTGTTTTCCACAAATAGCGCTGGTTGACGACGTATTGGTCCACTCTGCTCACCAACTAGTTACTATGCAAAATTTCTTTTAACAGTATGAACACAATGAACAAGAAGAAGACTTTTCTTAATACATTTATGGCGACATACTGTAACGAAAACAAAACGCTGTATGATGTTGAACACTGGAATTAAGACTCTGTACCTGAGGAACTGTTATGGCAAAACAAAGTGGGTTTCCACAGCTTGACCCACTGACAGGATGTTGTATTTACCTGGCTGCAGCTGGAAAGGAACTCCTTTTTGTGCGATCATCAACCCTGAATCACGTAGACCAATGCTTGTTCGTTAACTCCCACTGTCAACTGAAACACAAAGTGGGTTTTATCAGTGAACAACAGGAGGAGACGTGAGAAGAGTGATTTATATTTATTGACACTCAACTGGACCGTTACCAAAACCATATAAGAAAAAAAAAGGAAAACTACAGAACAATACAAAATAATTTTCCCTTTTTTATTGGTGCTGTAGAGAACATTAAAAAAACAAAACAAATCCCAGTTAACTTTAAACTAACTTACCACACCAGACAAAACCATTCAACCTAAATACAAAACACCAAAAACATACTGTGGCATGATGGTAACCATCCAACACCTGCTGAGTTATAGACCAAGTCAACGTTGATGTACCTCAACTTTTAGTTTGACACCGTACTAAAAAAACACTGCTGGTTGAGGAGATCATTGGTGGCAGATGTTTTTCTTCAGCCAGACCAGCATTTTATCTAGCAGTCTATATGTGCTGTAAGAAAAAGAAAATCAAAATAGTGTCACTGAAGAATGTTCACGGCCAGGAAATGAAAAGACAGAAACTCCCTGTGAATAACCCATATTTGTACAGGGAGGACATGACACCGTGTTGAAAAAGCCAACAGTGGCTAATGAAAAAGCTAACATCAACAGGTTTTCCCTCTGAAGGTCCTGTACAGAGCAGAGCGGGGAATTGAAGTGTTAGTTTTCTGTCCCTTCACCCCTGACACCTTTCGCCCTTTGTTCAGCTTATTCTACAGTTAGCTTAGCCGCAGTTTGACTCGGCCGTGCATGTTAAGCGTGTTGTGACTTACACGAGAACTCAATCGGCCGTGTTGCTCTGCCGCCTCCGCCAGGCTTGATTTAACAGACAGCATATGGTTCTCTTAGCATGCCCACGCAGTTGGCGCACTGACCATTACGAGTAGCTGCGGGCGGGTAAAGTGACCTCTAGAGATGAGAGCGCTCCAGACAAAGGCAATCACCCAAGGCAGAGTGGAGAGCGTGTTCATTGCGAGCTACATGTGTTCTAGGGCGTAGAAACACACACAAACAGACACGACAGTGATGCGTAGAGGTGTAAGCTGATCGGGACAAAAAGAAACAACGGTCATGTCGGTTCCGTGACTCATGTGTAACATCATTTCAGAGACACTGACTCAGCAAACTATGAGAAACATTACACACTGGATGGAAAATCATCATCAAACAGTGAGCAATAGTGATGATGGCTGTAATATTTTCACATGGACGTGTGTACGTAGCATGTGCTGGTTACATGGATAGGTTTTTGTTCATATTGCCTAAATGTAAAAAGTACATTTATAAAGTGGCAATAGATTAAATCTTCACACAGATAAGATACATTTTGAGCTAAATGACAACATTTTTCTTTTAACCTTGAACACCTTACTAAATTTTAAATGTCTTATTTTTGACCAATTTATATCTTACTAATTTTTAAACGTCTTATTTTTGACCAATTTAATTAATAATAATAATATATGTTCAGTTTATTTTACCTTTAGCATAGTTTAAGCCACCTTTAGTCATGTTATGTCTGAATTTTAATTACTTATTTTAAAATAACACTGTCTTTATTTTCAATGAAATTGACGGTAGACAATCGGTAGACAAATGCTTGCAACATTTCTAACCTTTTTGTGCTTAACCAACTAACTTCAACATTTCAATATGGCCACCACTAATGTGGTTTTGGTTTTTTACATTTTAAATTCACATTTGTTTTATATTATTAAGCGTATTAACCTTTAAAACATTGCAGTTTCATCCAAGTTTACCCATAGCAGACTCTACTTTGCCATTGTGTGCTTTAAGCTGCTTCTGGGATTTTACCATAAAACAGATATACGCACATATGTGAGCACTTCACATTAAGTTGTCAGCTGGTCGCAGCCTAGCAACTGTGACTTACACTGTTGTTTGCTTTTTGAAGTGCCCTTATGAATACACAAACTTTAATGGATTTACTGCGATAAAACAGCAGCGCTGGTGACATTTGCGAGAAGACAATAACTTGTGGCCTGAACATAATAATGATGGCCACAAGTATTTAATTTTAGCTAGCTTCCATTAGCCCATAATGTAAGTAAAATCTCTCTTCTTGTACAGTGGTAAGAAATTACATACAATTACATATCAAAAAATATGTAGGAAAACTGAACCTGTCGCCCGGAAACCGTCACGTTTACATGGAGTTAGTCACAGCAGCGGGAATGAAAACAACACGGAGAGTGTGCTGTTGAATTCTTTATTCTTCTCAACAATTGCTCTGACAAAACCATGCATGTGAGCCATAATAAAGGCAGTTTCCCCATGACAGTTCAGTGTTCCATCCAGCTTTTTATAGATCTATAGTTGGCTGAGTAGACGCGTACGTGTTGCCATATATAAGGAGAAGCGACCAAGAAGAGGGAGAGACGCTAACCGTCCTGTACTGCCCGTTAGCAGCCAACCGGTCCTGGATACAAAACAGGTTTTGGACCGCTGTATTAAAGCAACAATAAGTGAAGAAACAGTTGAATTATTGATTATACACGTACTTTACGCAACTTCCCATTCATTTGTAGAATATAATCGAATATAATCGTTAGCACAACGAAGGGAAAAGTGACATCGGAGATTGTGTTTTTAATTTGCAGTTCAGTGAAGGTTACGGCTGATGCTCTAGTTTTACTCCACAGTCTGACCTTGTGAGCCATGTTGTCCACTGCTATTAATACTCCGATCTGAGCTCAGCACATTTGCTGCTGTTCCATTTTGACCAGAGTAGGTATAAGGTGTACTACAGAGAGGATTTAAGAAGGACTGTATATTTTTAATTAAAAAAAAACTAAATAAAGATAGATAAAACCAGCTGTACCTGAAGATTTGCTGGTTAAGGTTAGAAAGGTTAGCATTGGCAACAGCAGCAGGTAAACAGAGTAATTCATATTTCTGTTACTCAGCCTCTGAATGAAGACTCCATCCTTCTCTGTGATTGGTTTGAAATGCAGACAATCAACAAGAAAGGTCCACTGATTTGGTGCTGGCCTTCTTCCTATCGTCTTATATTTGTTTAGAGTTTTGTTGTCGGTTAAAGTAGGACAAGTCAAAAGGCCAATACATGTAAACAAAAGTTTATTTTAGTTCCTACTTTTGTTTGCCACAACACTTTGTAGTTAATCCACACTGTATCTGCCAATAACCCTCCTACATGTCACACACATAACCAAGGGCTAGACTTAATTTTTTGTATTAGTTAAATATATCCTTGCCATTTTTTTTTGTATTAGTTAAATATGTCCTTGCCATGTTTTTTTTTTCATTTACTAAAAGAGAAATAGATGGAGTTGTTCCATATCGTTGAACTGGGTATATTTTTTGGCTATTGTTGTGAACAGATCTTCTGTGTTTACAGCCTAGAGAGAGACATTTCCAATCTCTCAGTGTGGTCCCTCGGTGTGGTAGCACACGGAGCATCTTACTGCCAAATTTGCTAAATCCCCCTGTGTTTTAGTTTTAATCTCCCCCTTTAAACTGTACAAATACTGAGCGAGTCAAGACTATAATCTGATAGTTGGGTTGGGATGAGCCTCTGTAAAAACAGATAATAACCAACAGTCCATGAAAGTTCACAGTAAACTGTATTAAATGTGTTAAAAGCTGCAGCTCAGACACGCAAATAATTCCAGTGTCTTGTGACACAATGGGTGATCGTTGTTACTGGGATTTGTTTTTTTCGTACTACCATGGACCCTGTTCAGACTCTAGGTGCATGTTAATTGCAATCAAACATACAATTACCAAGGACAACATTTATTACCTATTACTGGAACTAATGAACCCTGTGAAGTGTGTGTAAGAGGACCTTGAACAAACAAGAAACCAATCGATGGCTTTTCTTCTTGGAGTGAACATTAAGCAATTTCCATGAAACTGCTGGATCACTGAATGGGCATTATTCAGCAGAATGGTTCAGTCTGTGATTTCTGTGAGTGATTGAAATAGTTCTTTTTACACATTATTCCTGTAGCAGCAAACACCGACCAAACAACAAATAGTATGTGTAACCGCTACACTATAAAACTACAAATCTCTCTCTCTCTCCGACAAATTCGTCGACATGAACGCTATACACGGGCTACGGCTTTGTTTATATTTACCAGTTGTACCCCATACACTGGATTGTGCAACATTCATTGTCTTTCGTTTATTGTTTATTTGGGAACTTCTTGCCTTTCATTATGACTGCCAAGTGTAAGTCAGACACTGATGTAATTTGATGATGATGAGGATGTTTTAATGCAGAGAAGCTTATATTAAGTGTCAAAAACCATTATCTAATAGTCAAGGGAAAAAAAAGAGTTACAAAATAATAATCCTGCTCTTGAGCAGCGAGCAGACATGAAAACTACATTAAGTTGGATCACTTCAGGTCAGATGACTAAGGAGGAAATGATGATGAAAGATGAAGAATTAAGATGACATTAAACAGAGAAAATGAGGTGAGGTAAGGGGTGAGGTAATCGTGATATGAGGTGAGGAAAATGAGCTGCATCTGCAGCAGCATATAATAGACGGCAAATAACAAGAACATCCTGAAATATGTGCTGTTTAACACTATTTGCTTGGAACTGAGATAAAGGTGAAAATACCTGGGAATGCAAAAAAAAAAAACTACCAGCCTCTGAGTCCTCTCGTTCATCTCCCCTGCACAGTTACGTGTAATATGTTTACACCCCAAAATGGCTTCATCCCAGGCACCGAAATTACATAGAACAAAATTACATTCGTGCACAGCAGGTACCACAGGCTCCAGGAATAGATCTACAAATTATTTTTATAAGGCACGATGAGCCGGTAGTGAGAAAAGGTGGGGATAAATCAAATGAGGTAAGACATGCTGATGAGATGCTGCCTGTGAAGTCAAACGACATGAGGAAATGGCTTCAGTTAGGATGAGCTCAAATCACACGGGATGAGATGAGGAAACAACTCAGGTAGGTACAAAAGACAAAAAAAACATTTCAGGTACTGTAACTGAAGGTGAT